CATAAATGATTTGATTGTACTAAACAGAAGCAGGGGTATATTTTCCAAACTAAATAATAACAGCAGAAGCATAAAGAGAAGTAATAGTGATATCTGAATTGGAATAGGAAAATCATTAAAGAAAGCTATTGGATTCAAGAAGATTGTGATTGTCATTTTAATCAGCCATTTAAAATCAGAATAGCATCTCTCATTAACCTACTTTTGTTTATATTGCAGTTTATTGTTGTTTCTTTGAAGGAAGGCATGTTTGACAATGTCAACGTTCTCTTCCGAACAAAATTTGTGGACGGTGTACCTACCGTCCAAAGAACAGTTGCAAATAAGCAAAACAAGTGATTCCATTTAACTGGTGAGGATTATACTTTCTCTGATAATATCCATCAAGTAATAGTAATTATATGTAAAGTGTTTGCTTATGTTTGAGAAGCCTAATCTTGTCGTATGATTGAACACTAGTAGACATTAGATATAGCTTGTGACTCATGGTGCGTTTTCAAGAGATGCTTTACCATATTAGCTAACAACGCGGATGTCCAGTGTAACAAATCTTAGTGTTACGAGCATCAGATCAAGTTTAATGTTTAAAATGGAGATTTTTATTGGAAGTACTTATTAAAAGCTTAGTCAATTAGCATCATATTTTGCATGTCAAACCTGCTTTTAAGAAAGTGAAATTTATTATAATTCAAATCAATACGGGCATGTTATCTAGTTCTTAAAGAAGCTCCTGTACATAATAGTGATTTATTTTTAGTAGAACATGTGAGAGAAGAGAGAAAGATAGGCCATTAACATGGACTATAGTAGTTGCTTTAAATCAAATACTTAGTGGTGGAAAGAGTTTCATGTGGTTTAATCCAAATTCATGAAAACAAATCTTCGTTGTGTTTTCTAATTCTCTCTTGATTTCTTTCTTCCAGATTCTCGATCTTTATTTATCTACAGCTGAATACAAGCTGCTGCTGGAGTCAAGGAGTGTTTGTACTTTTATGTTGTTTTGATAGTGTATCTATTGCTGATAAATTGCCTAAAATATGTGATGTCCCAATTTAGTGACCTTTGTATGCTTTAAGCTTCATTCTGTCAATTATACCTATTGGCAGTAAAGTTGTTTGTAGTAAGATGTTGATGATTCGCTTTATAGTGTATTTATTCAAGTATTTTTGTGCAAACGCTGGATGGAACATTTTCGATTCATTTGAATTTTGGATTTTATAGAAATGAAAACGACAACAATATGTCAATACTTTTTCCCTTTTTGTAACGAAATAACAAGTAAATTGAGAAACACCATCTCAAGGTTCAAGGTTGTCCATGTACCAATAAAATTAGCAGAATCCAACACTGTTATGACGTTATGGTACTGTGATAAGTGTGTTTTGCACACTTATTTAGGTCACAAAATATGGAAAATTGTTGATGTATATATTGAAATATGGTTTAATTCGATATAATTTGTGTTTGTAGGATTACATTGATGAATGGAATGAAGAGTATGAGAAAATGAACGAAAAATGACGAAAATGGAAGAATATGAAACTTCGAGGACCAAAATATAATTATTCAAAAGATGACCCGAATGGCGAATCAATCATGGAATTGAGTTAAGTCACACATTGTGACATCATGAAATGTTAGAAGAAGAAGGAGAA